TATTTGTGGGAATCAGGGATGGTGTTGCTGGGAGCTAGGGAACTGAGCACCACCCAGGCCACAGCTGGGAGGATTGCGGCCAGGAGCGTGGGCTCTGGAGCCCAGCTCTCAGCTCTGCCTCCCACTCACTTTCCCTGTTACCAGGTTGAACCTTTTGAAATTTCAGTTTCTGTTGGTTGAAAAGATGCCTGAATATCAATCATAAGGGCCAACCTAGTAATATCATCTTCAGTTTCCTTACCTGGTAAATTGGTGATGTTAGTAACAACTTATGAGGTGAGATTTTTTTTTTTGAGTTGGAGTCTCACTCTGCCGTCCAGACTGGAGTGCAGTGGCCACTCCCGGCCACCGCAGCCTCGACCTGCTGGGCTCTGGCGATCCTTCCGCCTCAGCCTTCCAAGTGGCTGGAACTACAGGCGCGCGCTACCACGCCCGGCTGATTTTTTGATTTATTGTAGAGATGAGGTCTCGCCAAGTTGCCCAGGCGGGTCTTGAACCCACGGGCTCAGGCAATCCACTCACCTCAGCCTCCCAAAGGCGCGGTATTACAGGCTGAGCCACCAAGCCCAGCTTGAGGTGAGATTTAATAAAATACTTCCAGCTGAAGTTTTTAGCAGCTGTCCATCACATAGGCAGTGCTCCACATACAGGTGGAACTTTTAATGAGTTCCATCTTAACAAGGCGTCCCCTAAGGTTTGTTGAAGAGTGACAGAAACCCATGTGTCTTAGGAACAGTCTGCAGAAGGCATGTAATCAGCCTGGCCACTCCACAAGCTGGGTGCGTGAAACCCAGAAGGGCCGGGCATGCCACTGCACATGTGGCCGCAGGCACCCTCTTCTTTAACCCCACAGGTAACCCTGGGCAGTGAGGGGAGGAGAAAGGGACTTACGGCAGACCTGGGTGTTTATGAGGGCCAGCTAAGGTGGAAATAGAAAGGTGAAATGGAGCTGGGCTCGGTGGCTCAGCCTGTAATCCTGTGCCTTGTGAGGCTAAGGTGAGTGGATTGCCTGAGCCTGCGCGGGTTTGAGACCCGCCTGGGCAACTTGGCGAGACCTCATCTCTACAGTAAATCAAAAAATGAGCCGGGCTTGGTAGTGTGCGCCTGTAGTTCCAGCTACTTGGAAAGCTGAGGCGGAAGGATTGCCGGAGCCTAGCAGGTAAAAAGAAGTTAAAAAGGTAAAAAGAAGTTCTATTTGTACTTTTTCCCTCTGTTAAAAAGGTAAGAAAGTTTATGTTAAAAAGGTAAAAAAGTTCCCTCTGTTAAAAAGGTCAAAAGCTGGGTGGCACTCAGTTCCCTAGCTCCCAGCAACTCCATCCCTGATTCCTGCAAATAGAAACTTTTTCCCCTGTTAAAAAGATAAAAAAGTGTACTTGTGATTTTCCCCTTTGTTGAAAAGGTAAAAAAGAAAATTTGGGTTTCTGGTAAGCGCAGCATGGCAAGACTCATTCTCCTAGTATTTATGTTATTTGGCAGTTCTGTGTTGCCTTTTGGGCGGCATCATGGGAATTAAAGGCAAGTAACTAGCTATCAACTGTCCGTCAGATTAAAAACTGGAAGCATGTTTTCTGGGTTGTTTACATTCAGGGTTTTGCTTCTGAACATTACTGCTCATTTTGTCTTTTTTCTCACGCGTGGAGGTTCGGTGTGCTGTAGTAACGAGGAGGCTGGATTAGTGGGAAGCCTAGAGATTCTTGGATTCTTGACTTGTTTTGACGCCTAGCTATAGGTCTGGAACCCTAAGCTCCTGGCCTGCTGCAGGTGTTCCGAGGGTAGGGGTGCTCGCTGCAGCCTCCGTGGAACAGCATCTCCACCTTGTGGCTTTTTCTCTCCCAAGGCTTCAGCAGGGCCTAGGTGAGGACCAGCATGCTCTTGCCCTGAGTCTGAAAACATAGCTCCCTGTTGGTTTTGTTTTCAGTCTCACACTTTAAAAACAAAGTTACCTTAAGTGCTGTGACCTTTTAAATGTTAGCTTTGTCAGTAATTGATCTGTTAATCTTGGACCTATTTTCCCAGAGTGCTATGTAGAGAGATGAAGAGAGGTTTAGCAGTAACTAGGTTTGTCACTTTTATGGCACTTAGGTAACGGGAAACATTAGTTTTACACTGGTTGCTTGGTAGTTGATGCCCATAAAGGTTACCTGACTTAAATGGTTATAATCAGTAGACAAGGAAATCTAACACAAATTTCGAATTATTCTTGGGGGAATGACTTAATAATGGCAAGGGAAACCAAGCTTGCTTAAGATTACTTTAAAAGGAAATTTGGTAGCAACATATTGTGGGGATCATGACTGTGCCGCTGCAGAAAAATGAAAAAGTAGTTGTCCCAATGTTGTAGAAATAGAAACTTGGAGCTTAGAATAAAATTTCCAGGAGCCACCGTACAGAAATTTACAAAGCACTTTTATTCTCATCTTAGATGGATATACATAGAAGTTTTGTTTCATTCTGTTTAATATGAACACTGAAATGATCATAGGCAGTATTTTCAGTGCGTAAGATGGGTGACCTCGTTTAATTTTCACAATGATTCCATGAGGAACTGTTGTTATCCCACTTTACAGATGATAAATCTGCTGGGGGTCACATCAAGAGGGGAGCAGCACTGGAGCTGAACACGGGCAGTCTGATGCCTAGATGTGTGCTCGTACCACTAGGATCTGCTGCCAGCATGGCTTGTAGTGCCGTATGACTTAGGGATGAGAAGGCTGGTGCTGATCTAGAAGCCGGATTTTAATACTGATCTGCCACTTACAGCTGGGTGATGTTGGGGGCGGTCACACAACTTGCTCAGTTTCGGATGCTTTTAGAACTAAATGGGGGCTGGGTGCAGTGACCCAGGCTTGTAATCCTAGCACTTTGGGAGGTGAAGGCATGAGAATTGCCTGAGTCCAGGAGTTTAAGACCAGCCTGGGCAACGTGATGAGACCTTGTCTCTACAATAAATCAAAAAATTAGCCAGGCATGGTGGCACACACCTGTGGTTCTAGCTACTTGGAAGGCTGAGGCACAAGGATCACCTGAGCCCAGCCGGTCGAGGCTTGTTGGCTGTGAGAGTGCCACTGCACTCCAGCCTGGACAACAGTGAAGTGAGACTCCAGTTAAAAAAAAAATAGGCCAGGATCTGTGGCTCAGCCTGTAATCCCAGCACTTTGGGAGCTGAGGCGAGTGGAGTCCTTGCATTCGAGACCCACCTGGGCAACTTGGTGAGACCTCATCTCTACAATAAATCAAAAATTAGCCGGGCATGGTAGCACGCGCCTGTAGTTTCATCTACTTGGAAGGCTGAGGCAAAAGGATCACCGGCACCCAAGGCGGACGCTGGGGTGACTGTGAGCGTGCCACTATACTCCAGCCTGGGCGACAGAGTGAGACACCACAACTCAAAAAAAAAGAACTAAATGGAAAAATACTTAAAGTAGCACTTAATATATGCTAAACAAGTGGTTATTAATAATCATAGTAATTGTAGTGATTGTTCTTGTTTCGGTGGCCTATGATTATCAAGCTCTTTTTAGGAAGCACAGTACACAAAGTGGCTAGTGGATGTTTTTGTTGTTTTACAGTTATAGTACTTACTGGTTTTTGTGAGAGAGGGAAGTTATACAAAATGACAGCTGCATCTAAGGAGATGCCATTTTTTCTTTTTGTCGTGTGTGTGTGTGTGTGTGTGTGTGTGTGTGTGTGTGTATGAATGAACAGAGAGGATTCTCAGGGCCTTTACATATTTTTTACCGACTTAAGTGATAGGGTTGGAGGATGTTTCACGTTAGATGCTGTTGGAGGACATGGAAGACCATAGGCTCCATCCTTTGGCAGATTGAAGAGTAGGCCAGTGCTTCTAGGAAAGGTGGAAAATTGGGAGAATTGATGACACAGAACTGGGTCAGTGAGAATGAAGGAGTGAGAACTGTGAAAGGATAGGAGAGTCTAGGCAGGGAAATGTCTGCTGAGATTTTAGAGACAAATAAGGAGTGATGAAATCTGAGAGTAGAAACACATATGACATGGAGTGGGGGTGTGAGAAGGGTTAATGGATTGTGAAAAATTTGCTAGACCGGGCAAGGAGGTGCAGGTAGTGTCCTGGGCAACCGTTAGGAGCATAAGGAGATTTGTTCTCTAATGGAATGACTCCCCACGTGATGGCTAAGGCATGGTGATGACATGGCAGAGTTAGGGGACACACAGGAAAGAGGCAGCCTGGGGACCGAGGGTGGGGCCGCTTCAGCATTCTAGGAAGCAGTACCTTTTTGCACTAAGATGGAGCACAATTCTACTCTTTAAAAATCATTAGAGAAGCCGGGCTCGGTGGCTCAGCTTGTAATCCTGTGCTTTGGGAGGCTGAGGTGAGTGGATTGCCTGAGCCTATGGGTTCGAGACCCGCCTGGGCAACTTGGCAAGACTTCATCTCTACAATAAATGAAAAAATTAGCCAGGTGTGGTAGCGCGTGCCTGTAGTTCCAGCTACTTGGAAGGCTGAGGTGGAAGGATCGCCGGAGCCCAGCAGGTTGAGGCTGCGGTGGCCGGGAGTGTGCCTTTGCACTCCAGCCTGGGTGACAAAGTGAGACTCCAACACACACACACAGAAATCATTAGAGAGTATCTGTTAATGAACTTCAACTTCTATGAACTTTCTGGCCATGCCTTTTTATTTGATGCAAGGTCCTTGACTAGGAACAGAAACCTCAGGTAGGGAAAATGTTCACTTTATGATGGTTTCCTTATGATTGATTTATGTCAGAATAAAATTGATTAATTAGGAATTTATATACACATTCTATACTGCTGTTAATGTTTGGTACAGTACTTTCTTTAGCGTTTTCATTTTGAAAGATTATTAGACTCGGCATTTTCTGGGACAGAATGCTTTTTAAAGGGAAATTTATCTTTTTGGGAAATAATCTGTAAAGGCTAATTTGGAAAAAGCTGAATTTAAATATATGTAGCTCTTGCAGTTATGAGCTTTTTACAATTTACGTTGACGTTCTTTTGTATAGGAGTTAAAGTTCCTCGTAATTTTCGCTTGTTGGAAGAACTTGAAGAAGGACAAAAAGGAGTAGGCGATGGTACGGTTAGCTGGGGCCTTGAAGATGATGAAGATATGACACTTACAAGGTGGACAGGCATGATTATTGGGCCACCAAGGGTCAGTGCTATAAATTATATATTTTTATATGAATAATTGTTACTTTAGAGTAAGCATTTGATTTCATACATTGATATTAAAATAAGCAATGATACCTTCTAACTGAATCATTCCTCCCTGTTAATTGATCTTATATATATTTATTGATGCTTCCTGTGTGCAGGATATAATAACTTGACTATCCGGAAGACTGGGGCGAGGAAATGGATATGGTTGTTACCTTCAAGGTGTTTGCAGTTCAGTAAAGGAGAGAAAAATCAATACAAATACAGGTTCTAAATATGACAGAACAAGTTCACTACGGGACTTTAGAATATGTTTCTTCTAGCTGGAATAATTGAGGAAGGCTGAACAGTAGAGGAAGTTGCCTTTGGAGTGAGCCCTAAAGGACTGACTGGTAGGATTGCAGAAGGTGGTGATGGGAATGGAGAACATTCCAGATAGAGAGGAGAAAAGGTGAGGATGTGGAGGGGTATTTGGGAAGAGCAAACAGTCATTTTGGCGTGACATGTTCCTAACCCCCTTGTTTGTACTGAGGGTTTCAGAGTTGGTTCGTATTGAGGTCACATTGCTTTTTGCCCTCTGACATTTCACGCGTGCCACGGAAATGCTATCGGCCTCAATTTCTACATCTATTAAAAAATCTGTTTCTTACATATTTTCTAGTATTGTTGGCAACTGGCCTATTATGCTTTATTCTTAGGCCTTTCTTAGTTTGTGAACTTTTATTTTCACTCAAAATCTTTTTTCTTAACTTGGAATTTTTTCTAAATTGCATTCCCTACCCAAAGGTCCCAACCAGTGTATTCCCTGTAGATAGTCTTTGAGATATGTGTTATGTGATGTTTTCGACTTGCTGGAAAGAACACAAATGTGAAGATTTTAAAAAGTCCTTGGTTTTACATACTGGTTGCCGTCTATGATAAGAGTATTTCAACTGTTTTGCCGTTTGGTAGAGTTTAAATTTCTTGTTGGTTATTGTAAGGGAAAAATGGATCCGGTAATTAGCAATGTTAACTTTAGAAAATGAGTTACTGTGTGTTTTATGTTATTCTCTGGTAGTCTTTTGCAAAATTCATGCACACTCGTACTAAACAGTCTTCCCCTTTCCTCGCTCTGATTTTTCCATAAGATGGAAATAAAATATTAATGGTTAGACTTCTTTATGACTTCATATTTGTAATGAAAGCCTTGATTTTCACTGCCTGTGAGCACTGTTGCCATGGTCTGTTTGGTTTTTTTAAAAAGTGCTTATTATGACTTATGAACATTCTGTCTTCATGTTTTTAAGATTTAGCAGTCAGAACTTGGTGGAACATAAACTTGACATTACTTAGAGTTGGTTTTCCTCCAGCCACTGCCTCTAATACACTTTATGCCTTAAGAATGCTTAGGAGCTTGTGTGTGCGTTCCTCAGCGTTCTTGAGGGCTGACCACCGGCATGGTTCCCAGATGTGGGGGAACAGCTCCTGCTTGTTCTCTCACCCGGCGGGGTCCCCAGGAGGACGGGTTTCCCCACGAGCTGCGCGTCGCGTCCCTGAGCCACAGGCTGCTCCTCGGCAACCCTCCCTCCTGGCCTAGGGGCTCCGAGCACGGAGACTGCTGCTGCTGGGGCCCTCTGCTCCAGGGTTGGTGGTCTCAGGGGAGAGTTTGCAGTGTGTGTTTCTCGCCTGCCGTAAGGTTCGTGGCTGAGGCACCTATAATTGAAGACAGATTCGCAAGAGAGAGAAGAGTGTACACCCTTCTTCTAAGTTTGACGCGACACGAGAGCGTTCAGAAGTGAGGACCCAAGGAGACCAAAGTCTGTGCTTTTATGCTGGGTTTGATAAAGAGTGGGCAGTTGTGCAGAAGTGTGATTGAATCTAATGGTAACAGACTGGGTGGTGAACTGGGGGCACCTTACCAAGGCCTGTTTGTTCGGGTTCTCCCCTGTGCCTCTGTTTTCTCTCCTGTCCCCCGGGTATAAGGCAGGACCCCTCTGGAGTGGATCTCATGGCCCACTTCAGGAGGAGGTCAGTGAGATTTTAGGGCTGCTCCAGCCGGGAAGGGGGAAGGGGAAAGGGGGAGAGTGACTATCTTGCTTCTGCTATTTCCTCAAATGCCAAGTGCTGTGTTTTGGGGTGGTGTTTCCTGAACCCCGCCAGGGCCCCCTCCCATTCCTCTGGGTGCCAGCCAGAGGCAGGAGGGGAGTGTCCTGCAGAGGCCAGGATCCGTACTCTGCTTACCCCTGATGATGGTCTTTGTGTTCCCTGGTCTCCAGTTCTCAGGAGGCGGTTAGTCACAGCGCACCTTCAGCTGGCTTTTCATGAGATGGGCAGGAGTTGGTATCTCCCCGAGTTGTCTCCTCTTTAGAAGGTGCGGCATTGAGAGCAGCTTTGTCTTCAGTTTTGTGGATACATCCAGCCAGGAGCCTGGGAAAACTTACCATAACATACTGTTATGTGGTTGGTTGTTTTTTAATTTTTTTGTGTTTTATTAAGTTACTCCAGTGTTTGTTTGGATTTATACAATTAGCAATTTGTTTGTCTATGTTTTTGTGTGTTCAGTTTTCTGAAGCAATATTTGTTGGTATTAGAGTTTTAGTACCTTTTTCTAATTGCCTCATATGTAAATGGAGGTACTGTCCCCATTTTTAAAATATGAAAGTTGTGAGAATGAAATGAAATAATGATTAGACAGTACGAGAGTACCTGATGTACCAAATATTAGTTCCTTTTACTACTTTCTAATTTATCTTATTCTTGCTTTTATTAGATAATAGAAAAACTTGGATGTGTTAATTTAAAATTTAGAGGTGATAAATTAATCAAAGGTGTCAGAAGTTAGGGTGACTTTACAATAAGCATTGAATTAGATTAATAGGCTATCTTAAGGACTTTTTATAACTTAAAAAAATTGAGGTAGAATTTACATATAGTGAAATACATATATTTTGCCCTGAGTTTGACAAATATAGCTGGTTACCTACGTTCCTATTGAGATACAGAACATTTCTGACATCCCAGAAAGCTCCTTGTTCCCTTTCCCACCTCCACCCCTGCTTCCTTCACCTGAAAATTTTGTATGTAGAGCTTTTTTTTTTTTTTAAAGAAAGAAAAGTTTATTTAAAAGTAAATTAAAGAGAGAAAGAAGCGGGGTTCAGTGGCTCAGCCTGTAATCCCGCGCCTTTGGGAGGCTGAGGTGAGTGGATTGCCTGAGCCCGCGGGTTCGAGACCCGCCTGGGCAACTTGACGAGACCTCATCTTTACAATAAATAAAAAAACTAGCCAGGCATGGTAGCGCACGCCTATAGTTCCAGCTACTTGGAAGGCTAAGGCGGAAGGATCGCCGGAGCCCAGCAGGTCGAGGCTGCAGTGGCCGGGAGCGGCCACTGCACTCCAGTCTGGGTGACAGAGTGAGACTCCAACTCAAAAAAAAAAGAAAAAAAAAGAAGCCAATTTTAAAACATTTTAAGTTTATATCAATAATTTTAGGGAGTACAAATAGTTTTGTTACATGTTTGCATTGTATAGTGGCAAAGAAGTCTGAGCTTTTTTTTTTTTTTTTTTTAAGTTTTCAAGCAAAGTTTATTTAGAAAGTAAATGAGATAGAGAAAGAGAAGATTCACGTCCCTAAGATAGGGGAGGGGGCCGGGGCCAAGGCTAAAGAAACCAGAAGTCTGAGCTTTAAGTGTACCCATCATTCCTACCTGTGCACATTTTACCCAACAGTTGATTTTTTTTTGTCTTCCCTCCCCTTCCCCATTAAGAAACTTCATTTTAAAATGATGTGTAAACATAAAGGTTGCTGTTGTGTCTCTGAATTCAGATAATGGGTTTTAATGAATCATAAATTGATGAAGTAGTAATATAAGTATATAACTAATAGGAGATATGAAATTAGGTTTAACTGCTGCACGATGGTACAATATGGTGTTTTCCCTTTTGCTAGAAGTTGATTGCCACATAAGTAGGATAACCTTATCATTTGTTATTCAACAAGAACCTTTTGAGAATGAAAAGAGGCACTATTAATAATTAACACTGGGATAATAGGAATAAATAGCACTGTCATGGAATATGTGACCCTTTGTGTGTGTCATAAGTCAAGTAGTCTATCCTCTGACAATGTAAACTTTTTAGCAAAATCTAAATTTAAGTGGTTTGTTTTTTTCTTGTTTGTTTTAGGCATGGTTTGTATCAAAAAGCAAGTTCTGATCATATTGATATTACTTTGTAGAACTGTTTTAATTTTATAAAATCTCTACTTTTAAGTATGCTTTTTCCCTAATCATATAGGTCAAATACGTTTGAAGAAAAATAAATTCTTAAATCACAAACACTGTCTTATCAAGTCCATTATTATACTTTTCCTCTTTTTTAACACTTGGACATTATTATTTTAGGCATTGTAATTTTGATTCCTCTTTTGTTTTTCCCTTCCAGACAAATTATGAAAACAGAATATATAGCCTGAAAGTAGAATGTGGACCTAAATACCCAGAAGCTCCTCCATCAGTTAGATTTGTAACAAAGATTAATATGAATGGAATAAATAATTCCAGTGGGATGGTAAGTTAAAGTAGTCATTTTATTTTTATATAGCATAACATATATAGTTTTTGTTGTTCTTGTTTTTTTGAGTTGGAGTCTCACTTTGTCACTCAGGCTGGAGTGCAGTAGCACGCTCACAGCTACCACAACCTCGACCTGCTGGGCTCAGGTGATCATTCCCTCTCAGCCTTCCAAGTAGCTGGAACCACAGGCATGTGCCACCATGCTCGGCTAATTTTTTGATTTATTGTAGAGATGAGGTCTTGCCAAATTGCCCAGGCTGGTCTCAAATCCGTGAGCTCAGGAAATCCTCCCACCTTGGCCTCCCAAAGTGCTGGGATTATAGGCATTAGCCACTGTGCCAGGCTAGTTATATTTTGATTATATGTAATATACTAATATCTAGTTGGGAGAACGTTTTGTTTTTTTTTTTGAGTTGGAGTCTCACTCTGTCGGTCAGACTGGAGTGCAGTGCCTGCTCCCGGCCACCGCAGCCTCTACCTGCTTGGCTCTGGCGATCCTTCCACCTCAGCCTTCCAAGTAGCTGGAACTACAGGCGTGCGCTACCACGCCCGGCTCATTTTGATTTATTGTAGAGATGAGGTCTCACCAAGTTGCCCAGATGGGTCTCGAACCTGCGGGCTCAGGCAATCCACTCACCTCAGCTTCCCAAAGGCGCAGGATTACAGGCTGAGCCACTGAGCCCTGCAGGAGAAAGGTTTTTTTTTTAAAAGAAGCTTTTTTAGCTGGAAGTCTAAGGAAGTTTGTTTATCTTAATGTTGGTTTTCTTCTGCAAATTAGCCTATCCTTAAAAACCTAATGTACCTGCCTAGGTAAATGTGTTGGTAACACTTTTCTTGGGGTTTTGTTAGTTGGTTCAGTAGTTGTATTCCTTATTTGATGAAAATTTGAGCATTATTTCTCTTGAATGTTTTTTTTCTTTAGAGTTAAAGTTACATTTGGTGAGATGAAAAGGATGACTATTCATGAAAAGACGAATTTTCGTGAAGGGAGTTTTCGTTTTTATTTTTGAGTCATGGATTACATGTGAGGATTTGCTACATAAGTAAATAGGGTGCAGGTGAGCCCTCTCTCGCCCTGATAGTAGACCTGGCACCTAGTGTGTGGTTGTGTGCCTTGAAGGAGTTTTTCATTGAGGAACCTGTATTGGGGCAGTCGTGGCTGAGCATGATTGTCTCTCTAAAGCAAACAAAACAGAACGACATGCTCTACCTGACCCAAGTTAAAATATAGCTGAATGTCCAGTATGAGTAGGTTGTTAGGTTCCTATTCAGACTTTGAAGCCCAGGCTCTGTTGGTACCATGTTGAGAGCACACTCATATGCAGCCCATGTTAGGAAGCAAGCAGCGCTGTCGTAAAATGAATATCCTCCATCTTAGAAGTAAGATGCTGTTGATATCTGTGACTTCTGTGCTCGCCTCCTGCCACCCTGTGTTCTGTCTCCTCACTGGTGTGTATTTCATACTGCTCTTCTATGTCATTTGTACACATGTGCATCCTCCTTCCCCCTCCTGCTACCTGTTTACTGTCCACGAAAAACCACACGTTACTTCTAATACCTTCACCTCTATCCTACAGGGTTTGTTGTAGGGCTCTTTCTTCCCATATTCGTGCTTCCTTCCTCCAGCACCGACAAGCCTGGCTCCCATGGTCCCAGTACATTTACTTACTTGCTCAGTTTCCCCTTCGTGTAGCCTCACTTCCGGTGACAGTCTGAGCCCGCAGCAGCCCTCCCTCCGCTCTCAGCCGCAGCCTCGTGTGTGTGTGTGTGCGTGCGTGTGCGTGTGCGTGTGTGTGTGTGTGTGCGCGGCCCAAGGCTGGGCCTGCCTGAGGCAAGAGGAAGGCCGGCGAGGCCGCGAGCGGGGCCAGCCCTCGGCCTGCGGGGCGGGTCCTCGACGGCTCCTCCCTCCCGCGCGGCTCCGAGCAGAGAGCAGGCTCCTGCGGGAGCGCCCTGGCCGTCCGTCTTCGTGATTGATGGGCTGGGAGCAGCTAGGCCTTGATGTTCAGTGTGCGGTAGTCACCAGGTTTCAACAGATCAGCTCAGCGGGTGATTCCTGTTTTCCTGCATGCTTACTGTTTCCTGCCTACTTTTGAAATGGTTGTCCTCCGCTTTTCCTTTTCTGTTTCTGTTCTTTCAGTGGTTATTCTGGAAATAATGCATCCCTATCTACTTCTGTGTGAGCTAAGGTTAAGAGTTGTGAGGAGAGAGGGATTATGAAGCACTTGAGTTCACAGACAGGATATTGTTCAGGGCATTTCTCTTCTGACACAGGCCTGCCTTAATGAGGAAGATAAACTGTGGGATTTCAATACTGGGCATAGCTGTTTTTCTCAACTGCTGGTTTGTTTTCGTGTTGCAGCTTCTGTAAATTGAGGAGCTGTGGTGCGTTCCACACTGCTGTGGGAGCGAGGAAGCTCAGGATCCCGCTTCAGGCCGGCCTCCAACGAGCTTCTCTGACCCTCTGAGCTTCTGGCGCATCTGCTGGCCTTGCGCTTCCTCTGTCTTTCTTCCCCCAGCCCATCTGTCGTCCAGTCCTGTCAGTTTTGTGTTCCCAATGTGACTTCCTTTAGGTCTTATTTTCTTACTTGTATCGTCACCAAATGAATGCTGGCCATCGGTCATCTCTTATCTGGACTCTTGCAACAGCCTCTCTAATTCTGTTTTTGAAAATCTCCAGCCAGGCATGGTGACTCACACCTGTGACCCCAGCACTTTGGGAGGTCGAGGAGAGAGAATTGCCTGAGCCCTCAGGTTTGAGACCAGCCTGGGCAACTTGGCGAGACCTCGTCTCTACAATAAATCAAGAAAAATTAGCCAGGCGTTATGGCTGTAGTTCCAGCCACTGGGAAGGCTGAGGTGGAAGGATCTTCTGAGTCCAGCAGGTCGAGGCTGTGGTGGCCATGAGCGAGCCGTTGCACTCCAACCTGGGTGACAGAGTGAGACTCCAACTCAAAAATAAAATAAAATAAAATCTCCTCCAATCTTTACAAAGCAAGAAGCCAGAGGGATCTTCCTAAAACACAAATTGTGTCATGTCACTTCTCTGCCTTAAAATCCTTTGGTGGCTTCAGCAGCAGCGTGCGTGCTTCTTGCCGTGGCTCACTGGGAACTCATAAGGTGCATACTGGCTTGCATGCCTTCCATTTGGCCCAGGTTCTTTATACTTTCTGTTCTTCCTCCTTCCTCCCCAAGTCTGTCTAACCCCATGGGTCCTTCACTTGTCAGTGTAAATGTCACTTTCTCAGAGAAGTCCTGCTTGATTTTTCGACTTGAATTATGTTCCTTCTATTACTCTGTTGTAGTCACTCTTTTTCTTTTTCTTTCGTTCCCTTTTTTTTTTGTAGAGACATGGTCTTGGTATGTTGCCCAGCCAGGCTGGTCACAAACTCCTGGCCTCAAAGGATGCTTCTGCTTTGGCCTCCCAAAGTGCTGGGATTGGAGGCGTGAGCCACTTCTCCTGGCCCCACTCTGTTATTCTTTTGTTGTTGTTACTATACATTTATTATTTTTGTTTTTGGTGTTTTTGAAACAAATGTTCCTAATGTACAGATTAGTACTAGAGAATGATAACAACCAACATCTATGTATCCTCCACTTAGTCTTGTCAAATCTTAGCATTCGTCTTATTTGTAATAGATTTTTTTCTTGTAATACAAAGACTACATTATAGTTAACTCTGTGTGGCTTTCTCTTGTTTCCCATTCTTCTTACTCCAGAGGTATCCACATCTTGAATTTGTTGATAATTTCTGTGCGTGATTGTTGTGTTTTTCCTGTGCACACATGAATATGCTTCTGTATTGTATCACTTTGGGGTTTTGTTTGTTTGTTTGTTTGTTTGAGTCAAGGTCTCACTCTGTTGCCCAGACTGGAGTGTAGTGGCACAATCACAATCACAACTCACTGCACCCTCAAACTCCTGGGCTTAGGCGATCCTTCCATCCCAGCCTCCTGAGTAGCTAGGACTACAGGTTCACACCATCATGTGCAGCTAGTCTTCTTTTTTTCTTAGTTGGAGTCCCACTCTGTCACCCAGGTTCAGTGGCACGCTCATGACCACCCCAGCGTCGACCTGCTGGGCTCAGGTGATCCTTCCGCCTCAGTCTTCCAAGTAGCCAGAACTGCAGGTGTGTGCTACCACGCCCGGCTAATTTTTTGTTGTTGTTGACTTATTGTAGAGATGATGTCTCGCCAAGTTGCCCAGGCTGTTCTCGAACCCGTGGGCTCAGGCAGTCCCCTCACCATGGCCTCCCAAAGTGCTGGGATTACAGACTTGAGCCACCACACCTGGCCTGGTCTTTTTTTTTTTTTTGAGTTGAAGTCTCACTCTGTCGCCCAGACTGGAATGCAGTGGCACATTCATGGCCACCGCAGCCTCGACCTACTGGGCTCAGGTGATCCTTCCACCTCAGCCATCTTCATGTAGTCTCAATCCTTCAGCTGTGAGTGTCTCAGGACAGCATGTTTGTTGCTGTGTTTGATTCCAATCTGCCATGGATTTTGTAAAATATAATAAAAATGAATTACTAGGAAGATAATAAAAAAGACACAAAATACAAGCTTAAAATGTTCTGTCAAATAGCTATAGAGCTTCCTAAGTTCTCATACTCAATTGCTGTTTTTCTTGTAAAGCACCAAGGAAACTCCAATCGGGGCCTTGCATTGTTCCATGGACGAAGTTTGCGTAGCACTACTCTGGGGAATGCACTCAGAAGGAGAATGTGTGCAGCAGCGTGGGGCTTGTCTTTGACTTGAATACAGATAAGTTGCCCTCTGCAGGGTTCTGTCATTGTCAGCCACGGCAGTGTGTAAGAGTGCCCTATGAATGTGCGTTCCCACTAACTTTGTATTGTTGGTCTGGATGGGAATTTGGAAATAGAAAAATAAACACTGGCTTAAATTGTTATTAGAGTGTAGGTGTTTGTGTAGAGAGTTGTGGGTAGGTTGAATGTACTGGAATCTGTTTTTCCTATCTAAGAATTTGTATTAGTACTTT